TGCTTGGTCCTCTCTCGTTCCATCATGCCTTGTGTTGCATTCTTATTCCTCGAGTCCTCTCTCTCGGCTTTGCACTCTTTTGCTCGCTCGACGGGCTCGCGAATTTGGAGAGCTTTTGAAGGAGAATCGATTTTCCTCAAATCTGAGGATACAACGGAAATCTCCGTCGCGAGCAACAGATCGGCTCTCGGACGAGTTCCGAGGCTGCATCGTCTACAGACAGCGTTCACCTTCCGCCAAGTTTTTCTTCATAAATTCATTTCCAGGAGAGAATGGGAAAATTGAAAGAATTTCGGATTCTCGACTGCGGAGCAGGATAGTCGGGAGCCCATGTGCGGTGAGGGAATGGGGAGAGATGCCCAAGCGAGCTTGATGAGGAGCCGAAGCATGGGGGAAAGTTCGGTCAAGAACCCGCCGACGACGAAAACAGCTTTAATTGGTAGACGACGCTCGGTTTCAAAGTTGTAAAGTCCGTCGAAGCTCAGGCGAACGAGGACGAGAAGAAGGTTGCTACGAGTGGCCTGATCAGGATTAGGACTTCGAACTCCTGAACTCCGATCCAAGACAGGTGAGCCGCAGAGGCTCAAACCTTATTATTTTAGGATTTCGACGCCCTCAACTGAACTCGACTAAGGGCGCTGTTCCGAACAGAACAAAAAACATCATCGACATCATCAACAACATTCGCCATCATCCTACACGCTTCTCCTCACGATCGTCAGCTGTGACTGAGCATGGGTTCGTTTTCTCAGCCGAAAGAGAGACCGAGTCCTCCTCACCTTCCTCCGTTGATTTCTCTAGCTCAGATCGTCGCGACAAATTCTTCTTAACGATGAATCCCGTGAACGCTATGAGCTAGTGCGGATCTGGACGACAATTGCCAAATTCAGGGAATCGCGTGCCCGAGTCAATGCGTGGTTTATGAGAAAGAGCGGAAATATGACGTTTCGAGACGCCGCTGCTCCGCGGGACAATAACAAGAGACCCGAGATGTCACTTGAAGAAGGGCAGCAGGAGCGACTCTCGGGAAAGCGTACTCGACCGGTCCAGCGCTCGGCCACTCAGGCACGTTTCTGCAGATCTGCCGACGGATTTGGCCCTTTCATCCAACTCTTTCGAAAACTTCGATGGAGAGGTCCTCGCCGATGCTATTATTCCGGCGGTCTCTTCTGCTGTCCTCCACGATAGTCGGCCGATGAAAGCGGATTTCACCGGAAACAGATTCACTGATATTCCAACGCATATCTGTTTCGGAAAAAGGAGCATTTCATCAGAGTCGAAAGGCTTCGCGCATGAATATAATACCCGACGATTTTTTGCCCGCTCTCCGCTCTTCCTTAGCAAACACTCCGTGTCAAAAGTTCCACCGGAGGAGTCTCCTTAAAAGCCCAGCCTCTCCTAGATCATATCTCTTGCATTACGATCGGTGGACTAACGGTCACGCGGGGCGGAAGTGAGACACATGCGTCACACGAAAGCACATGAGCGCGTTTGGATTTCGAAAACCCGACCCCCTTTGATGATGGAGTCTCACTTAACCGGTCCATAAAAAACCTCACCCACTTCTCTCAATCTCTACTAATACGTCCGGCGCGATGTTCAACCCTTTATCCGAATCCTCCCTCTGCTGCTGCTGCTGCCACCACCACACCGCCGCCGCCGCCGCTCTGAACCTCTCACTAGGCTGTCTCTGTATCACGAGTGAAGAGGGATCCACCCTGTGGTGTAATCCTGGATGATCCCCGAAAGTAAAAAGTGTCTCCGGTGCCGCTTCTTACGAAGGCGACGCGTATTCCTCTTCGACTAATCTACACAGTTGAAGAACATTGAGTCGAATGGTAGCGAGTACCAAAAACAGCTCCAAATCTGCATACCAAATGAGGGAACGGAGCGTGGTTCCGTGGAAACGAAAGAGCTCGATCCGACATCGGAGGATGAGGATGCCGCGTGGTTTCTGCTCCACAGGTCGTCATGTTTTGTCCTGATTGAATGCTGACGGAAAACCGCGAATTCGTTTCCGCCGTGAAGCGAACTTCTGACACTTGATCCGATTGATTCTTTCCGTCGGGGACGCCGCGTTTCAACCTGATTCGAAAACTCCCCGTGGTACTCTGGATGGGGAGAAAGGTTTCGGGACCGGGGATGCAAAGCGAGCGTCCGAAGCAGAAAGACGGATTAGCCGGGTATCTGGTACGAGAATCGCTCGAAATCGACGCGTATTGGTGACCGAAGTCCCAAAACCTCGTCGCTGTCACTCACTTCCGAGTGTTGACAAAATGCTTTCGATCTCGGGAGCCCAAAGGATCACTTTCTTACGCTGAGAGATCGCACTCATTCATCCTAGTTTGTCAATGGTAATTCCTCGCTCACAAAGGATTCACTCGGAAAGATCGCTTTCATCGAACGAGAAAAAATCAATTTTGTTATGCAAAGTGCAGCCCGACAAGAGAAAGAGCCAAACACGAAAATCACTCCAAGATCGAATCGGGCGACAAATAAAACGAGAGAAAAAAATCTCAAGAAATCCTTTACATTGCACTGTGTGCTTTCGAAAGGCCAATCTGCTTCGCAGCGGGACTTCGGGACTCGGTCCTTCCTCCGCTTGCCTCCGCACCCTCTCGCTATCTGTGAAGCACTAGAGGCCAAAGGGTTTAGGACAGCGCGCCATGCGGGGTTCAGAACGAGTTGGAATCACGAATTGAGCGAATACATGCCCGACACTGCAGATATAACGGTCTCAATCTCCTCGGACCATTCCCGACGGGTTCTGTCGTGTGTCATACGACTGACGAGTTCTAGCGGACGAGAGCACAGTTCCGCGGAGCGGGAAATTCCTCATCGGCACGAGGCATTTTTCGAGACGAGATGCAACCTCCTAGAGATTCGAGTAATGGATCGTCGACCGCAACCAGACGAGGCTTGTTGGAATGGACGTTTTTCCCGTGAGATTATTCGCTCCCGATACAAGATCTCTCGACGTTTTCTCCGATCAATCGAAGCACCTGGGGGATCACCATCGTCCATGTCGAAGGAGATATGACTGTCAGGCGAAGATTCATATTGCGAAGGAGGCGTGATAGCAAATATCGGGAGTTTTCACCCTGCCGGCGCTAACGAACTTTTGTCCCTGCGCTCCTGGTGTACATGGAAGTGTATGTCTTTGTTGTTTGCACTGCTCGCAGCGGACCGAGTAAATACTGAAAGAGCCCGAGCGGCAGATGAAAAGATTGGTGAAGACAAGGATAGACAAGGGGCATTGCAGTCGGCGAAGGAGAATTAGATTGAGACGCAGGGAGCACCTCGTTCGCCCACACCTTGAACCGGCGGGAACTCACAGACACACCATTACGCTCGAGCCAAACAGCCGAAACGTCAGCTCTCTCACACCTATGCCGTTTTTCTCGAGGATTCCGATCAATCAAATCCGTCCCCTACCCTCGGTGGTGGGGAATTCGAGGCGAAGCAGGTTGGAGGAGGAAACTACAGATGGGCGGGACACATCTGGAAAAGTCGGGAATGAAATCACATGATTTGATCAGTTAATCACCTTCAGAATAATCTCCGTTACTCGAGATCGTTGCCTCTCTCAAATCGAGGCTTCCGCGAACACTGTCCTCGCGTCATATGCGTTTGTTCACAACTCGTAAATCAGCCGCAGGCTCGCGATATCTTTTCGTGTTAGGAATCGATGTGGAGTCACGGCCAATCATTAGCGTCATTTTCCTCTAACGGAAGCGACGACGACGGCCGCTGCTGCTCATAATACTGGTCTGTCGCGTGGAGTTGACTCGGTGAAGCAGTGCAGCCCATCCGGAGGATGTTCGGCCACTCTTGAATATTCATCTGTTCGCCTACTCGCTGGACATCGAATTCATCCGAAAAGCACGTACTGGGGACAGCTATTCACAAGAGAAACGATAAATGACAACATCAAGTCTCCACACGCCGCGCCCATGCGGGGCTCGGGGATTTTTCAAGACGAGGTGACCCGACTCCCATGACACAGACCCGGAGACGAAATGACCTGGCCCCCGTGACGCAGACCTGGATCGAACTCTGACGCTGAGGATACTCGTTCAGATTCTGATCCGGAGCAAGCATAGATTCGGAAGGCGTGAAATTTTGACATCTATCGTGGTTTGCCGTAACTCGAAACACCTAGAGAAACGAACCCATCGCAGGAGCGGAACACTGCCAGCCCCGGATCCGAGTCACTGGTTGGTCGGTCGTTTTCGGCGATTGGGTGAGGATCGGATCCGAAATGACAAGTCTCGGTCGGAAGGGTTATGAGAAGAGAGAGGGTAAGGAATGAAATGAGCCCACAGGTTTTGAGTGGGGTCGTCGGCGGGCTCGAGGACGGCCAATAATATTGTGGCGGACCAAAAAAGAGGGGACGAGGTGGAGGCTGCTGGTCGCTCGACTTTGCTCCGTACAGCTGTTGCCTCTACTTCACATCTTCACGGGTCCCTGGCCACAAACCTCGAAATTTCCTCGACTTCGTTCCTTCCCTCAGCGAGCAGCTGGTGTCGATGTGCGCCGACTCGCTGCAGATGGAGGGAACCAACCAGCTACGCACCAGTGATGCTATCTGGCCACCACCACTGCTCGTGGCGCACCAGTGAGAATAAGCTTCGCCGGAGCGACAACGTTGTTCCGGGAGCATGTCACCTTGAGCTCGCGGCAGTTCGGATTATAAACCCAGACCGGCCTAGAGGGCCGGTATCGCGCTGGGTCGGATTCGATTCCATGACAATTAATCGCAAATTGGTCGTAGAGATCCGGGTCCAACGATATCTCCGAAAGTTGAGGCTCCGACCCCCTGGGACGACGTCAGCCCTTGGGGAAGCATCCTCACCGGCTCGTACGGTGACGATTGGAGGAAGCGTGAAAGCTGCGCGCGGAACTTGAAAACTCATGCGAGGCGGAGAAGGGCTCGAGGAAAGATCAAAACTCGGAGAGGCTTCTAATTGAGCCATCGTAACAGCAGTTACCTATGCGTTTCAGCTCACTTCTGTTCCGCACAGCTCTGATGTTTGTCTGTCGAATGATGGGACAACAGTCGCCGTCTGAGACGTGCGGAGGAGTGTCAGTGACGCGTTTATTAAATTCCCTCGATCTCTGCTCACTCGTGTTACAATACTCCTGACTTGTTAGTCCCGCCCTGCGAGACGAAGTGCACTGATAGCTAGCCGATATTCTCGAATCCGGCCGACTTGCTGACTGAGAGATGTGTTCACGCGCCTTTCTCCTTGTTACTCCGGAGTCGGCGACGCGCCGAGAAATCCGACAGCTCCGTGCCAAACAGCTGTCAGTGTAGCCCGAGGATCCTCAAACACCTCGAGAAAACTTTGCCAATTAACGCCCTCACACCTTCAAACTCGCTCGGGACTTTCGTTGCTGACGTTCTTTTGTTGCCGGTATGGGAGAAAACCCGGATCGATCGACAGCGGTTCATCACTACTAATTATTTTGCTCGTCCAAAGCTTGCGCTTAAAATGAACGCAGGGAGAAACAAGGAAACGGAGAATATGCGCGATATCCGAATCAGGTGCCTGACTCGGTATTTTAAATGGCATTCTCCACAGATTTTGCCCTTCTCGTCGGGTAGTCTCTGTCGCTGTCGGCGGATGTCACTGCCCACCCGATGCTTGGTGGCATATCACTAAGGCAATAAATCCAAGCCGTATCTTATCGCATGAACTCCGGCAGGCTTCAAGTGTGTGCGCGGGCTCTGCGTGGAATACCAACATACCTGGAGCTGCTCGGATCGACAGCATCTTGCCGCACATTATGAACGCTTGCCCGTTTCAGGGTAATTCTGGGAGTCATGACGTTCGTGTAGGAAAGCCCGACCGCGCTAGACGGGCAAAAGCAAGATGCTAAAATTCTGGCGGACTCCGATACACAGCTCTATTCTGCTGTTCCCTACCGTCTCCGCCCCCTTAGGTTCGAGAATCGGCAAAGCTCTCTACCGAACCTCCTCATTTTTGAAATTCCTCAGACAAATCCCGACCGAAGCTCAGGAAGCGTTTTTCCGCTTTGCGTTAGTGCTGAAGGTTTTATGGATAATTTCGTTTCGCGGCTTATCGCCGTCAGCTTGTCGGAGACCTTTTCAGCCTTTAGTGTGGTGGCGTTTTTAGAAATGTTTAAAAATGTGTTCAACCTTTAAGCTGTTTCTCGCGATTCGAGCGAGCGCTCAGGTCAAGTCAGCAAACTCCGGCTAAGCTCCGAGTGCACTTCATGAATGATGTCTCTAGATAGTTCAGTTCCGCCGACCATTTGCTCCGATCACACGTTACGAATCCGCTGCCGCTCATACATTGAGGGGTGATAGTGAAGACCAGGGACCGAAGCCAGAGAGGTGGGGACATTCTTTCGAGATCGTGCAGAGAAGGTGGCAACAGAAACCACGAGAAGAGAGTTCCGTCAGAGACAGACTACGGTATAATGGGACCATTCGACTCGCCCGAAATTATTGATTTTGGACCAATCATTAGGAGGGGTCGCACCGCTCAAACAGATAATCCAGCTGATCAGAATTCCACGAAATCACTCTGGTAGCGATCTTCCTGAGGTGGCGGGCAAATATCCTCCAGACCCAACTTTACGGCTTCGACTTTATGGCTACCTGAGACGTGGACCTTCGTTCTCCTGTCGAATACATCGGCGAAATTCACCTCCCGGAACCAAGAGTGTTCCTTGATGTCTGTTTTTCCATTTATGCAAACACCGAAACGTTTCGCTGGATCTTCTTTGAGTAGGCCTTTGATCAGATCTTTGACATCGGAACTCACGTTGGGAGCCGTCGGGAACGTCCACGGTCGGTGCATGAAACCGAAGAATGGGTACTTGTCGAACAATAGCACGAACAGTGTCACCCCGAAAGCCCACCAATCGCATCCGTCTCTGTATCCCGAGTTCGAAGCAACTTCTGGCGCCATGTACTCTGGAGTTCCGCAGACACCGTAGACGCATTTCTTAACTGGGACGGCTGATCCCAGGTCGCCCAATTTCACTTGAGCATCAGGAAACAGGAGAACATTGGCCGGTTTTATGTCGCGATGCAAAACATTGCAGGCGTGTAAATATTCTATTGCCAGGATAATTTGTGCAGCGAAACATCTCACCACCTTTTCCCTTCTATCCGTGATTTGACTCAAATCCCCGCACGGTGCGAGTTCCATGAAGAAGTAGACGTTCGCGAAATCCTTGCCGACAAAGTTCAGTTTGATAATGAACTCGAAGTCGACGGCGTACAGAATTTTTTTCTCTTGGATTATTTTCTGCGCCGTTCTGTTCAGCACAGTCCTCTCCTTGTTAACCACCTTGATTGCGAAATCAGAATTTGCGTCGCGATCTTTCGCGTGTACCACTGAAGCGTACCTGCCCTCGCCCAATAGACCCAGAATTCTGAAGTTCTTGATATCTTCCCTCGGACATTGATGAGCTTCCGCGAACCTTTTGTCAAAATTCCTCTCGGCGAACTTCAGGTACTGTCTGTACCATTCGATCCTTTGGAGCCGTTGTTTTGTAGGACAAGAGGCTCCAGAGTCGGATCTTCCGAGGAGCTTTCTGAAAAATTTGCGCATCGTTACCTTCTGGATTCGAAGCGCTCTCGAAAAAATTTCTCTGCTCCCCACGGATATGGGAGATGGGAGCGCAAGGCCCGACCATTTGAATGCAAAGCTCGTTTCCAGGAATAATCCAATACGAGGCGACACAAGTCGTCTCCCCTTTTCACGTTAACATCGAGCATGAGCGAAAAAACAAAGAACTGCTCGAGAAAACTGGCGATGGCCAAGTTTGATTTCCGGGAGGAGCCGATCACACGCGACGAATGCCGAGAGAAGGATTCAGTCTTGTCGTTTAAGACTTGTTCAAAGCTCCTTACTCGAGGGAAACCTCTTGGCACCGATGCATCAACCCGATGATGATTCCAGGGGTCACTGATCTATTCCCTTAGCAATATTCCCTGAACGTGTTGTCACACAGCGGCGTGGCGGGCCTAGGTCCTACAACTGAGAATCGGCAAATGCTCACCATTCATTATGAAATGTACTTCCGGAAACCTTCATGATTCCGAGCTCGTAGGTGGGTACAGACATGTCGGATAGATGCGCCGTGGAAGGTTTCGTGCCTTTGGAAAGTACCTACTCGATGCTCCCCATGGACCGGGAGAATTCCCTCCCGACTATTCCTTCTGGTAAACAGAGCTAAGAGTTGAGCAAGATATCTCCAACTTCCTATCCTGGACGAAAATGGAACGCCGAGGGTGCTCTGGAATGCTCAATATTTCATGTTCTTTCTTCGAGAAAACGCCGAGCTAGCAAGCCCAGAATATATCGCTTTCGACCTTCGGATCATGATCGTCTTAGCTCAGCTTTCATCTCTTGGTCGAAGTCTCGTCGGAGCTCCGAGAGCCTGGCATATGCCAGTCAATCCAGACTATCTCCCGGATTCATTTGCCGGGCGCTGCCAAAGGGTCGGAATTTCATTTCATGGTTGGCGTTTCGACCGGTTCTTCAGACTTTGGTGAGGTATCGCTCGGGTCAGTAATATTCATGTTAGATGACATCCACTGGACTCTTAGGATGCTCCACCGATGCCAACGAATTCTCTCCACCGGAGCCGCCCGTACACTGAATCAAAGAAGAAAAAGATTCGTTCCTTCTCTGAGCGTCATCAATTTGTCTCCTTTCTACGCAAGAACGAATGGCACGAAGATTTCCCATGACCAACGCGCAGATACTTCCCCAGGCCATACTACGATTTTTCACGCTCAGCATGCTGCTGCACCTGACGGGTGAGTTTGAAGTCCTAGATCTCTCTTTGGAGTCATTTCGCGGCTCTCGATCTCGCGATATCAAGCATCTCGGAGGCTCTGATTGAATTCTTCAATACCTGTTAGATCTGCTCAAAATCACTGTAAATGAGTCGGATCGACCCTGAATGTGTTCCACAGACAGACCCGCTCAAGTGAGATAAACGAAGCTGGAAAGCGCGCCTCCGACCTTTCAGGAAGCCAGTTGGGACCCCTCGTATTCCCATGCAGCCAACATCTCATTTTCACCTACGATAAAGCATCGAATACCTGTATACGATCCTTCAAGCGCGATTGTGAGACTCGAGCTCAAGGACAGCCGTCATGCTCGCGGTGTCAAGCGGAAGCAATGGGTGAGGGATCCTGTTTCGAGATTACGAGTTATGCCTCCATCGAAGAACAGTGGGCTAACATCAGCTTGATCAGTCATTCATTTCGCCTATTCGTCCGAGATCAGTGGGATTCAAGAGCCGGATACTCGTTTTTTCCAGCTTCTCGGTACAGAGAGCTCGAGAAATGTTTCACCAGATACAGAGCTACTTCCCCAAGGAGGTCCGAGTGCAAGGAGACAGCCCAGTTCCACTTCAACGCTTCTTCTGGTGTTTGTGAGCATCGGATGATAGAATGCAGAGTAGGAGCCCCGTACGCTACTGGATTCGAAAACCGCGAGAAATGTGAACGGACTTGCGCAGACATGCCCACCTGTGCATGAAGAGTAAGAGTGGAATGAAACTCAACTGAACATCGACAGAAATGAGAAATCCGTATTTTCTCTTCCCGAAAAGGACTCCTGGGGTGGTGAGGGTCGCAGGCGGGAATATCCTCTCGAGCGGATCCGCGCTTATCATTGAGCCCGATAGCTGTGCTGACTCTGCAGAAATCCTCGCGAAGCTCTATACACGGTATTCGGACCGGTGCATAACTACTCCGCACGATCCTCACGATCGATTACCTCACCAGACTGAGCTTCCCGGAACAATTCACCCATAGGAATGTGGAGTTTCTCTCAGAAAAACATGCATGCGTAGGTGTTCTTCCGGCATTTTCGCTCCTGCCATGGTACACGAGATGTCTCCATCTATGCTCATCACTATCCGCTACATTCTGGATTGGACCGACTAAGCTTCACGCAACTAAAACGTTTTTTCCGGAGGCCGATAATCTCGGTTTGTTTAAGCATTCGGATCGTTTGAAGGGAAGCACAGCAAACATTCCTCAGCGGTGTTCAAAGCCTGGACTCAGGAGTCTGCGATGACGATGACTCCCGAGAGGGATAATCCTGCTCCAGACCCTATTTTATTCCAGGAGCGGAGTCCTCCACACCGCACCTCTTTCCGGGAAGAAGATCTCAGACTCCTCTCTGTAGTCTGAGAGATTCTTGCGCAAAGAATCGGCAGACTCCCTCCAAGACTCAGTCTTCCAAACTCCAAAATCGACTTCCAAAATCGACTTGCGCTCAAATGTGGCGTCACCGAATAAGTAGAGAACGCGTGAAGGCCGTACTTCGGTGCATATCCCATCGCGAGCTTGAGACAGTTTGGAAGACTGAGTCTTGGAGGGAGTCTGCCGCGATGCACAGCGTTCTGGAAGGCATCAGGATCAGGGGGCAGTAGATTAGAAGAAGTATCAGCCTTGGAGTCTCGCTGCGAATTGGAGCTCGGATTCTATTTCATGCAACTATCGAAAGCCTCTTCGACCTCATATATTCCGATTCTGTTCGAGCGGCACACATACGCTCAAGAACTCTATCGTCGGTCTAGGGGAAGTTACGTCCAGGATACTCCAATCTGAGTCGGCTGGGAATGGTCGGCGGTAGAGATGAGGTTCGGAACCGTCGGCGTCGTGGGCATGCCTCACAAGCGGCGTCAGGAGGGAGAACAGTATGCGAACATTGGCATGTTCACGGTCTCCTAGAACGCATCAGATTTCTTCTGAGGGAGCTTGGGGAAGACCAAAGGCTGGTAGATGCGGAGGGAGCGAATATACATGTGAGATTCGTGAAAATCGTCCGTTTTCTGCGTCGTGCCTCTCTATAGATACCCGTACCGATAATCTCACGGATGGAATGCCATTTCTGACCTCATCCGGGGCTTAGTGTCCTACAGATGGCGAGATAATTTGCGAGTTCTGTCGAGCATGCTTCGGCTACCAGTGAACTGATACAGCAGATGCATACGGAAGAGGCGAAGAAAATGCGTCCTAATCCTTGAAAGGCGCATTATGATGTTGGACGGTATTGAACATGGATTCTCCGACGGGCCCGGGGCCCGATCATCGGACATTCGATTCCAGCGGACATCTCCCGGCCTGCCCATCTCTTCGCTTTCATCGTGACCTCATGTGGAGATTGGCCAGAGTGTTCCATCGGACTGATTGCGAGTGAGCGCCCCGGACCCCAACTCTTGGAGGGTGACCTCTAGTTTTTGACTATGAATTATTTTATTGAAGATGCACATCAGTTTCTCTGAACAGTACTCCTCAACGCGTTCTCGTATACTGTCTTGAAATAATCATGAACGAACGAACGCGTCTCCTCCATGGCTCCAAAGAGCAGGTCCACATATTCGCCGGAGTCCCCCTCAGGGACCTTGCATCGGACAGCATCGGAGTCCCTGACGTGGTCCTGAAACATTGACCTTGCATCGAAAAATGCGGAATGATCGACGGTGGAAAGGCGTTGAAGTGTTACGCCGAGGAGCCGAGATTCGCGGCGGCTCCGCCTCCCCCGGATGCAAGAATCATGGGCCGCAGCTATCTGCGGTCCTCTACCTTCTTCCGCTGCAAGATCTAATAGGAGACATGGATGGGACATACCTTCGCCAATTCCAGACTCGGTGCTTTAGACGTGATATCATCGATGATCCATTGCGACTCGACTTGGATCTCTCCACAATACTTGAATTGCGACCTGTTCCCTGCGACATATCGGACTGTAGGCGCGATGCTGTAGAAAAAGATATGAACTCGAACTTCAACACGGTTACCTGGAAACCGTGAGCGATCGATAGGAGTCCACGAAATATCTGAGGGCACCGAAGATGCGAGCCGAGCTCTCCACGGCCTAGAGTTCCCACGGCAAGGCCTGAATCTTGGTTGGGCTATTTGGATAGCTCCCCGAACGAGAGATATCAACCACAGTCGATTCCGCGTGGAACTCTTCGCTCTCATGGGACAGCGGCGGCCCACAGAGAGACTTCCTCTACTTCGAAGAGTCGAACTTAACGTTCACCAAGAACAATGGTACTACAGACTATGGAAGCGCCATACTTCGCTGATATATCTCGCAGTCTCCGAGTCGACGGAAGCGGTTGACTAGGTCGAGTCTCTCGAAGAAATAGGTCGCTCCTGGGTATACGAATTCGCGACGATTTTCCGCGGAGATCTCATACCAGCGCTTCATCCTGAAACGCGTGATCAGAAGCGACAAATCGATGACTTTGTTCACGTACTCCACCGAATAAACTGCGGATGTAGCGAAGAGTTCATAGATTAGAGAGTGCGGAGAACTTCGAAGTCGCCATGTGCATCCGAAGCATACCACGACTGTAAACCAACCTGGTTTGGTAGGCGCTCTCGTCACTGAAATGAGTTGATGAATTAGATTTCGTAGGAGGACGGCACATTCGAGCAAAAGCCCCTCAGGACGACCGATCAATATCGTCCCGACGTATTATTTCTCGAAAGTTGCTCCTTAATCAGACGTCGCGACAGGGAAATCAACCGAGGTTCAAGCCACGAATCATTCTCCATGGCTCCTGAAGATTGACCTATCCATCGACAGGCTCCATGGAGCCGCAGTATTTTTTTCCACACTTGAGGGAAAACGGAGAACATCACTCGCCTGAATTCGGTACCCTGAGGATCAGTTCGCGATTCCTGTCTTTGCCGATGTACAGCATCATATTCCAATACCATATGGACGCTGCTGTCAAAGCACTCAGAATGCAGAGCGCATATCGCGTTTGAAGCTTTCCGTCGAGCTGGATTCTCGAGAGTTTTTTTGTCTTTGATGACTGACTGGGAAGCATTGAGGAGAAGGACCCAGCAGGTCGCAGGGATCTTTACGGCCTACTGGGGCTGACTTGCCGTCTACCCTGCGAGAGCCTACGCAATCTGTGATCGGCATCGTTGTCTCGGAACTTCCACTTTGAAAGTACCGGGCATGCTCTGCGACTATCATCGAGTTCAATGTGATCGGTATCAGTTATCAGTACTCAGTCAGTCATCCTGTCATCATTATATTGCGTCATCATTGGCGGAGTCGCATCAGAGGAAAGTGTGATGAGCAATGAGCGGAAGAGTGGGAAGAGCCGATGAGCCCAGATCAACTCTGATAGGCTTGGAGGTATCTTCCGGTGAATTGAGTTTATTGGAGAGCTTTCGAGGCTCTAATGCTGGGGACATTGAGCGGCAATGAACAAAGTTCAGACGAAAATTCAGACCCTCGTGCTTATATCTGAATGAATGCAAGTTTTCATCATGAACAAAGTATGCAGTTCGAGAAAACTCTCTGCCTTGAACAGTTTCCAATTTGTAAACAGCTTCCGAATCAGGGAGTGTTGCTCTCGGAGCCTTCATTCGCGAGAGTTCCACGGCGTCGCAGCATTGGAGTGTCGCAGATGCGGACCCGGATCTGTCTCAGCAATCGTCAACTCGAATGTATCACGAACAACTCCTCTCCGGGCACACCTGCCCGTCGGAGGAGAGATACAACACCTGTATTCATCCTCTCCGCCATTCTAGGCAGCGGTGCGCGCTCGCTGGATTCGCTCCCTACCGTGGCGAGTCTCGCTTTCGTCATTCAGCTCGTGAACGACTCAACGATGCCTGCTTTGTATAGTTCCGTCTTGTTTGCTTGTTTGGCAGGATCCGTGATATCTCCCATGGAACTACGAATCCTGATGATTCCATGGGTGCTGTGGAACGGAAAATTAATCGTGCCGCAGACCGCATTATGAAGCTCAACTGATCGAGATCTCGCTCTGCAAATTCGATGCCGATTCGGACTGCACAAAATTTTGACGGGAATAGCGCTGCTAATCGAAATTGTGAGACAGCGACTTCCGCAGAGGCAGACGCGAACAGGCTCCTGAATCTACCTAGTTGCCCTTATCTCGAATCTCTGTTATCCTGATCATTCCCCTTCAATGCGAAAATCGGGGATATCGACAAGTGATTTTATTCATTTCAAAATCGACGCTGGAC